AATCATACAAAAGTTTGGGACGCTTCTTTCTTTTATTTTTGCTGTTTTTACGCAGCTTTTTTTTTTTATTATTACCTAGCTGCCTACGCACAGAACCATGCGAACGGTTATCACCCTCGTCTTGTAACCGGAATTATATTATATTAAATTTGCACAACTGTTTTAGTAACCACTTTGCCCTGAATCATATAAACATCTTTAAAATTCATATTTCGGGCCTCTAAAAGCAATATATATTTCAGGCGCTATGCGTTGTGATTGTATTCCCTTTATAGGCACATGCATAGCCTCCTCTATACGGAGAAAGCCTGGCACATCGACGACGGAGCCATAGAGCGCGCGGCCGCAGGAAAACGGAGAGGAGGAGCGCGCCGAACGGTGACCAATATGGTAGCGCAGAGCAGAAAGGGCAGACCTAGACAGCGAGCGCTTGGGTCGTGAGCGGCCGCTCCCCGAACCACGCTTGTTTTTGCGTCTTCGTCACCGTCGTTTTCGTACTCCGGGAGAAACGGGCCCGGCGATTCGGAAGGGCGCAGGGAGAAACGGGAAAGGGTGGACGTTGAGTTTCTCCTCTCCACGATAGCGACAAGAAAAGAGAAAAAAAAAAAGATTGTTTCTGCGTTTGGCCGCTCGCTCTTTTGTGGCGCTAGCGGACAAGGTTCTCTCCGCTCCCGTTTCTCCGCCCCTCCTTTCCCATTTACGGCGGCCGTCTTTTCACGCGACGCGCCAGGCTTTCTCCGTAGGAGGCTATGGCACATGGTATCTCCTCTATTTGGAGTATTTTCAACCCAAGAGCAGAATGCCGTGGCAGATTGCTACAGATCGGATAAAAATGTACGCTATATATCTGAATAGTAGGGTACGTTGTTGGGGCTAGTTGGTTCATCTTAGTAAAACATATAAAATAGCGCAACAGAAAGACAAGGACAAGAAGTATACAGGACAGGCGCTATCCTATACAGGACAGCGCCTGTCCTGTATACTTCTTGTCCTTGTCTTTCTGTTGCGCTATTTTATATGTTTTACTATAATTCTGAAGGCAATTTTCGCAAAGGTCTATATTTGAGTGTGCGTAATAAAAAATAACAGAAATATTCTCTTATATATATATATATTTTTTTTTTCCCATCCTTCGAAGGGTAGCAGATCGTTGGACTCCGTCATCCGATTATTTGTTAAGAAAATTTTGCCTGCTAAGCTCGATGGTTTCTACTTAAAAGCTAAATCATCACTGTCTCCTCGCGTTAGAATCGTACGCACTAAACAGGATATTAATTTTGTTCTAACAAAGCAAAAGCCGCACCTTGACCTTCACAACACGCTTAAATCCGAATGGGGAATCTCTTTGAACTCACCATTCTGACGGGACAGATCTTTAATTTTGTGTTTCACATAAGGACGAGGCATGCAGAAAGGCAGGTTTTGGCGGCTTTACACGCGAGCGGTTTTAAAATAAGTGCGCGCACAATTTTTTTGGAGGGTCAATTTGAAGTCATACATCGTGAGGCAGGGGAGTTGTGTCCGAGCCGCACTATCGACAAACAGAAGCAACCGACACCGACAGACCCCGAAACCGTCAGCGTGCACGCGAACATATCTTTGGCATCCTTGCAGTCACTTGGCGTTCGAAAAATAAGCATGAGTGATTGCAAGCCTGCCAAAGGCGGTACAATCGCGTGAATGCTTGGCGTGTTTGAGGTCTATCGCTATCGATTGTTTCTTTGTTTGTTGCTCCAGTCACCTAGTGGGACCAGGGCAGGGTTCCCAAACACGCGGCCCGCGGGCCGCATGAGGCCCGCGACTCGCTGGGACGTGGACCGCGGGCAAACGGCTACGAGTCCCGATTCTCATGTCTCGAGCGCTATAGGAATGGCATGCGCCACAGTGTTCTCATCTCTCCGACTCACTTTCGTTCGAAAAGTAGCTCTGCCCTTTTATTGTATTCATAAAGGTTATGCTTATCTGTGTTAATTTTCTCTTTCTTGCGCTTTATTATATTGCTTCCCAGCCTTTTTGAAATGTACAACAATTCGCTACTAAACTGCAAGTGCGAGCTCTTCGTTGAAGGATGCATATCGGCTGCGCAAACTTTCGATCAGGGGGAGCAACTGCCATTGATAAAGCTACGAGCTCCGGTATCACCATTAAAATAAGAGAAGTATTTGTTCCGGCCGTTGTAATGAAAATCACCGGAAAAACAGAAACTGCCAAATACTCTTTTTTTTAGGCATGTCAAGTTTTTGTAGTTTTTGAAAGAATTGAGCAACGGGAACGACTGTGTACTTGCTCTCTGGTTCTATTAAAAATGCCAAGACGTTGGCGGCGTGGCGTTATTTTAATTCTTCTTATCTCACCACGTCAGGGCCCAAAGTAGTCATATAAACAAATGAAATATAAATATGTCACTGGCAAAACTGCGAGTTCACGAAAAACATAGAGCACGAGGTCCCTTCTCTTTTATATATTTTACCGCCCCCTCCCCCTCCCTTCCCAGCTTTACGCTGGCCCTCAGCCTTTCCGGTGTTGACTATCTGGCCCCCACAATCAAATGAGTTTGAGACCATTGGACTGGGGGATAATGACGAAAGACTAACAGAGTTTAATGAGCAGGCTGGTGTTGTTCCTCGGATATCGAGCTGAGCTCATCACGCGGAATAGACGCATTGCAGAGTGGAGGTTTCCATCGGTAATTCGGCGAATTCGTTTGGTTTATTCAATGCCCATAAATTGTTATCGACGCCAACGTGCATGATCCCGAAAGCTCTTTTTTGTTCCTTTTTTTTTGGGGGGGGGGGGGGGGGGGGGGGAGGAGGAGGAGGGAATTTTATCGTAGATGACGGTGGAAGTTGAGGCTCAAGTTGATGCTGAGCGAGATCCGCCCTCCCACCGCGCGTATTATGAACAACAGCCAAGTCCGATGGGTGTACAGCGGTGTTGTACAAAATACTCAACAAAAGTATTTAAGATAAGATACTAAATACCCACTTGAAAATGTATTTAGAGTAGTATTTAACTTAATTTTTCTACGAACTATCTTGAGTAGAGTGCAAATGCTTAGAAAAAGGAATTTAATTACATTCGAAGATTCTGGGAAAGTAGGTTGCAAGCTGGTAATGTAAGAACAAAAAAAAGTCAAAGAAGTGCTGTCCTTGTGATGTCTTCACTGAATATCACATTATGCTATGATCTTTACGTCTTTCAAGATGCAACTTAGCTGCTGCAATCGAAATTTACTTTGGAATTATGCAGCATAATGAATACCGAAAGATTTTAGAACAAGGGGGACTCACGTATTGTAGGCATGGCAACTGGCGTGCTTTAGTTTGGCGGTAGGCTCGGCTCATGACACATTCCGCAATAAGTTTGTAATATGTCTTGACGCGATTCGGTGGACTTGACAAATAGTCCGGCATTGCATATCCCTAACAGCCGAACTAGAAGTTGATTAGGATACCAGACCTGATGATGAAAAGACTGTAGGTGCGCAGGTGGGCTGGTGGTAGCTAATCAAGTCGTTTAACATCTAAAAGTGTGGCGCAGAAAAGTAAAAAAAAAATGTTAGTCGAAGGAACAAACACAGAAGGGAACGTCTCAGGTGCTAGACGGCATGATTGAGACGTCCCCTTCTGTGTCAATTCCTTCCACTGAAAGATATTTTTTCCTTCTCTGCACCACAGTCACAGGTAGTAAACGACATGATTGATGATGAATACGCGAGTGAATGACAAACGTGCTGGCACAGGAGAGACATCGGCTAGAGGACAGCAGCCTCTTGTCGCTGATCAGCAACCAAGAGCAATCATTTTGTCTCCCCCGTCAAGGGCGAAGAGGAGCGCTTGTACCTTCAAACTGTCAAAAAATATATTAAGGTCAAGAGGGAAACACAAGTAACACAAGAGGGTGTCCACGAAACCGCTTTTAATCCCTAGCTCCACCTTGCGGAAAACTGGGTTGGAGGATTCTTGAAATGGATCAATGTGCGCATTTGTAAGGAGATAAAAGAAACGCTTTTGATCGAGCTTGGGAGCCAAAGTCAGGCCACAATAGGCACGCAAGGGGCTTTGCAGAAGCCCAATCTAGGCCACTGCAGCCCAATAAAACCAACAGGAATCTAGCTTCCTTGGCCGAGGGAGTGCCTGTGCTTACTTGAAAACGTGCTCGCGCATTTTCATACCAGAACCCCCTGAACCAGCCATTTCCGAAAATGACCGTACCAAGCGTTATTTGGCGTAGCAATCTTCCGTTGATGGAACCACTGCAGCTTCAGACAAAATGTGTAAAATCCCGACAACGTCCCCAGAACTTTGCGAGCTCCAAGCGTAACATACCATTTAAAACCAACTTAAAAAAAAAAAAAAAAGACAACGCACAGGGGGACACACGAAGGCGGGCGTATTTGGGGCAATTCATTTGGTCTTTTGTTGGCATTCGTAGACTGCGTTTTACTCATGCCTTGTCTACGGCCCTGTGTTTGGTCGCTTACCTCCAAGTCTACAATCGGTTCAGCTTTGCCCTGGAGTCCGACAATCCCTAGTTACGTGGATTGTTCCGGAAAACAATATTTTCGAAGGTTGAAAAATCTATTTGAGATACTGAGAACAAGATAGTGAGAAATGTAGTTACTGTAGAGTAGCAAATACTCTACACGAAATGTATTTGCAAAATGCCAAAAAACTACCAAAAGTATTTTAAATACAAGGTCTTGAGTAGCGTACGTAAAATAGGCACAAATCTGGTGTACAGTGATGTCTCGTTAACAGGCATGGACACCTTCGTTTTCCCCAAAAATCGTTCATACTAGTTTTCCGTAATAACGAGACATAAATGCATGTGTTTTTCCAGTTTGTTCCCGAAAATGGTGTCCATACAGAGGGATGTCCATATTAACGGGGTCCATATTAACGAGACATGGCTGTATCTTACTTCGGTATCTACACACTCATACTCGTATATGTCTTCCTCAGTTGGTGAGGTTTTTTGAAGATATATAAAGGCAAGTCTTTTAACTTTGAGAAAACAAGATTTTATTTACATCGATCTCATATAGATCCGTCATTTTTACAATATTGCTTGGCACGCGCACAAAGGAAGAGCGTCATTACAAAGCGAGTTTTATAAGAAAAATACAGTGACAGTAAACCGAGCGCTCAATCTCACAGGATGCATGATTCTGAGAATAATATAAGTCTTTCAAAATTGATATGTGTATATGCACTCCATTCTAACGGTTCTTGTACTGCTTTGCTGCGCAAGGAACGAATTACTCCCATAAATACTTAATCTGCCGTGGCAATTATCGGTAGTTGGACTAGAACCGTGAGCGTTTTTTTACCCTTCAAAGCGTATAGCTTAGCACGGACGAACTAAATACCCATTAGAACACTAGACCATCAAACATCAAGAAAAAAAATACTGACTTAAAACCAAGAGGACGAACCAACCGGCTCTCCATGGCTAATGATAATTTTAGATAGTCCAGGGAATCGGGAAATCAACGAACATATGCTTGTTTTGTTCTTTCAAATACACGTTGCAAAAATAACAATGACTTGATAACACTGCACATGCCGTACAAATCCAAATGATCATAAGAGCCTGCTGCAATATAACGTTTTTATTAGTTTGTATTACACTGACGTCCCCAGCGAGAGCATAGCTTTGTCAGAGAAGAAAGCTAAACAACCAACCGTAATTTTTCATTAGCGGATGGGTCGCAAGATTTGGTGTCCCGTCCAGCGTAACAACTGAAAGAGGACGACAGTTCGAGTCATTTCTATCTCGTTCTCTAACGCAGCTCCTCGGTATACACACATCACATTCACACAACGTTATACCACCCTATAGTCAACGGCATAGTCGAAGGGTTCTGTAGAAGAACTTGTAGGTGGGCTAGTTTGTGAACGTTACGAAGCATGGTGTAAGGCACAAAAAACAACGGGCACAATGAAGAAGACACACACACGGGCGCCTGTGTGTGTGTGTCTTCTTCCTTGTGTTCTTTGTTTTTCGCGCCTTACACCATGCTTCATATCGAAGGATTCCATCAATCTCTTAAGGCATCACCCGAGGCACAGGAAGATTCCACCAATTGGTGTTAATTACTACCCCTCGTTCCCTTTGAACCCCTGTCAGAGGTCAAAGTTGAGGTCGGTTGTAGCTCCGCAGAGCTCGTACATGGCACTACTCCACCCCCACCCGGTATCACCCAATACAGGAAACTAAGTACAGCAGCAATATAAGCTCCCATTTTAGTCGTCGAAGATTGCACAATGCCCGGTCATTTACTCGAATAAAACTGATAACCAATTTTTTTTTTTTTTTAGGCGGTCACATCAAAACAAGGACGAGGCAAGCTCAATTAGACTGAACATAAGTACACTGCTTTCATCACATGTTCACCGCTCGAGCAAGGGTGTAATTATATGTCCTATATAAATAAGTTACTCCTCAAAGTAACGAAACTTCCGTCATCTTGGCGCTCAAAATCATTGTTGCGAGTTGTCCGAAAATTTTAGCTGAAATCGCAGGGAACGCCTTTCCATCCTTCAGAAACATGAAATCGACTGAGCAAAACGATATCGCCTGAGCTTCCTGACGCCGTAAATAAAGCTAAGGAAGTTGTATTTCTTGAGTCCTAATTTTATCACCGATTTCGCCCGCTTTGCACTAAGTTCCGAAATGGCGGCGCCCATAAGATAATTAAGGAACGAAGGGGCGATACTCTAAGCGTAACTTACTTTGTGGCTCTATGTGTAATGACGTGCTTTGCCACTTCTCCCCCTTCCCCCTTTTTTTGATGGCATTTAGTAGTCGTAACTTGTCGTCTGCTTTGTCCTCGGCGGGTACAGCGAGTTGTAGGCCTGCGTCGTGGGCGTCGGGTAGCCCGGGTACGGCACGGCAGGTCGGTTGTAAGGAGACGCCCTGGACTCCATCTTCATCTGATAGACGTAGTTGTCGTAGGTGGGCGCGTAGGCGCACAGCTCGCTCGAGTACGGCTGGCCGACGCCGCAGCTTCCCTGGGCTCCCATGGGCAGGCCGGTAGAACCCAGCACCCTCGAGAAGATGGCGCTGTTGGACAACTGCTCGGTGTCGTCGTCTGCGCAGAAAGGCCCCACATTGATGTCTTAATAATCAAATCGTCTCCATTGATCGTCTTGGGGGACCTCCACATTTGTGTATAGGCATCCTTCATTTCCCAAGAGGCTTAGGAGGGGACTTAAGGACTTGTCTTGAGTAGTACAAACTCGCTCGTCATTCAATGGGCAAAATTCGCTACACAAACCTGAGTTTCAGGAATGCACGAAAGTATTCATTCTTTTGGAGGTTAATTTTGAAGACGTATTGAAGGTCGTCAGGCTCTTAAAGTTTTTCTTTTGAGCGCTATAGATTTTTAATGGGATCCAGAAATGTGACCGTTTTGACTGTATGAAGCGGGTTTTGATGCATTTTTAAAAATAAAATTATGTAGAAGGAAAACTTGACAAAACGCGTGGCCGTACGTACTAAATGTACTAGGGGTGCCTCTAATCTTAATTTTAATGCCATGACGAGAAAGCATAATATTTTTGTATTTGCGTGTTTGTATAAATAAACTTGCCCTGTTAATTTTATTTTCAATGTGTTAAACGAGATGGCAACGCAAGTACTGAATTCCTTAAACCGGAGATTTTCTTGTTTTTCTCTCGAGCTCGAATTCGACTGCGATGGCTTGACTTGGGGACTTGTAGCACGTGTAGCCAAAACTCTCGCTGCAAAGCCCACTTTCGTGGATTCAATCCCCCACTCCTGCTTGTTTCAATCTGACTGAGTATCGTATCGGCGTGCGGTCATCTCTATATTATTATTGCGTGACGCTCGTTAAAGACGTCAGACTAGCAGCGATATACTGCACTGGCTTTCATCTTTAACGAAGACACCAGACGCCCTCGGGGCTGACTAACTTCCCGCTGTCTAAGCGTACACACAACTGAATTACAATTAAATGGCTCTGTTGGTTGGAGCTTATTGAACGTTGCAAAAACGAATAACTGACGTGCCCATTATTGACCGACCAGAGGTTCTGCAACTTTGTCGTGAAGCTGCCACACACCTGCGATCAACTTAGACTCATCATTCGTGATGCCTCAATGTACATTATCACTGCCGCACATTAAATCGCACTGAAATATCATTATTACCCCCTATACGGGCTTCTTAGGCATTAATTGTACGGGCTGCATGCTTCTCTGTGGCGCCTGTGCTTGCGAGCAAAAATAAAAACCTACCTAACTATAAACGAATATTTTGGTTTTATGCGTTACATCAGTTAGAACGGTCGTCTTCCTTGATGACACGGGGAAAAGATCGACGCTTGCAAGTGCTACCGAAACCAGATTTTGGCGAACAGTAAGAATAAATGCCATGCATAGTAAGGTGTTTAAATTCCCATACACACAGTTGCGTTTTAGTGCATTTGATTGCGCTGCGCCGAGAAACGGAAGCGAGTCGGCTGCACATTGATACTTTGTATGAAGCGTGGAATTAAGTTTAAGGAGGAACTTGGCACGCGACATACAAAGCAGGGATGTCCCAATTTTTGCAGCCAGTCAAACACACCCAAACGCTCTCAAACGAAACTGTGTTTATGGGCCTTTAGAGGAACCTTACCACTGGCTACCGCGGCCACGGTGTATAGGGTGTTTTCACTGACGTAATTTCATCCACCATTTTGTTGTTGTGAGCTGTCTGGCGTGTGCCAAACTCGAGCATTCTAAGGATTTACGTGGCCGCTCAAGTGCGCAGAGCACAGAAGCTTATGTCTTACCACGCTAACATCTTTTAAACCGGTTGCGATGCAATCCTTTAGATTTATAAATTTGTTTGGAAAAACAAACTAACAACAAAATGGCGGATTGGCGTCATCAAGGAGAATGCAGGGATCGGTGTTCCACGCGCCGCGCGTGCTGGCCTCAGCAGTAGTAACTTTTCTAAAGCAAATGCCTTAACGAATTTACATCTTGCACGCGTGTTCGTCAACACTTTATTTTGGGTATTTACTTCGAATATTTTATACGGGGAAGGCGTGCGCGTGCGGCGCGTGGAACAGCAATCCCTGCATTTTCCTTGATGCTTGGGTAATTTAGCAATAGGTCCATTGCTCCTGCAGATGCGAGTTGCAGAGTATATGCTTTAAAGTAACAGCGCGAGCTCCCGGTCGCGCTGCCACACTTGTCGGTTGCGGGATCGCTACACGTATGCCCAAATCCAACTAGAGTGACCAATAAAAACGATCAACACCGATAAGCCTTAAGCAAATGAAGCACGCGCGCGAATGTATCTTTGGCTGGCTTGCAACCGCTCGTGCTTACTTTAAAAGCACCGAGAGACAAAGAGCCTTTCAAAGATACCTCTGCGTGCGTGCTTAATTTGTGTTTGTGTGTATACTTATACAGCCTGAAGTTAGTCTGCCTCAACTGCTGTCTTGTCTCTGAGCTTGAGCAGTATAGCCAGTGCAGTACAGCCGCTAGGCTGCCGTTTTTTGACGTGCACCACGCAGAAGTGACATCCGACCGCGCGCCGATACGATGCTCATCCAGATCGAAAAGGGCGGGGGCGGGGATTGATTGCTTCATTTGCTTGACGCTTATTGCTGTCGACTGTTTCTGTTTGTCGCCCTAGGGAACTAGGGCATAATAAACAACAACTATTTGCTTCCCTGTTCCCTGTTCCACTGGGAGGAATCTTTGCGCTTCTCCTTACTTGGTCATGTCATCTTATTTGGTAGCGGAAGTGGACGTCCGGAGGAAATATTATTTCAGGGTACGGGCGTGCAAAACATAAAAGAGCTAGGAGTCGCACGTAACGCTCAAGCTACGAACAGTGCTTCTGGTAAGCCTAATAGACAATTTCGAAAGTTTGACCTCTGTTGCACGCTGTGGAATCCCTGCACAATTACGGATACACACCTGAGTTCTTTGCGTTGGGTTGCACTTCAGCTGCAAGAGTACTCGTGCAGCGGGAGCGCAAGTCAAAGGTACAAACGTGCGCTTGCAGCGGTTCTGACTATCACCCAAAGTTTCGAATTCCCACGTTCCGCAATGTCGGTTGTTCCACCATTGTGTGTTGAATCAACCGACGTCCACCTAAGTCTAAAGTCGTCAAAACAAGAACTAACGTTGTGGACGTATGTGACATTCTATGTAACTGAAATACACCTGGCAGCAAGAAAAAGACTATTGTTTTAATTCTTGCTGACAAGATTTTTTTTTTAACCGAAATAAATTTTAACGCTGCATGTTTACAGCGTAATTTCTTGTGTTTTGCAATATTAGGCTGAGGTGGATTTCGTTCATAGAGAAATCTATTTTTTCTTTTCTATAGTTTGATCCAGTTGACGTGTTCTCAAACTTTCTCGTTCTATTCCAACTGCTGGCGTCACATTCTCACGAAGTTTCAGCTTCCTACGATCCGTAATGTATTTACATGTGCCAAAAAACACGATTTTCTCAAAAACATTAAGTATGCACTTTACGCGCTCATTTCGTCTGTATAAGTAATTCGAAGTAAACAATCAAAATAAGATAGAACTGTTTGAAAGCAAAACATATTTTTTGTTTTCAAACAATTATAAGACTGCAGACGCCAGCACGTGTTCCACTTGTAACTGGACTTCAGCAGGCTCCTAGTGAAAGGCTTCATAAGACTCTGGAGGCTGGAATTCTGTTGATTCCATTTCTTGAATGCTATGTTAGCGCCCGTGGACAAACGCTTGCTTGCGTTAGAAGCGTGGCAAGCAAGCGTGCCGCTTCAATCAAGCAAGCGTGCCGCTACTTGATTGGCTCCATTGAATTGTCGGCTGCGTTCGAACTTTATAATGGCGCGTTTACACTTGCGGATTCGCGGGCGGGTCCGCTCAGGCGGAGAGTGGATTTTGGAGCCGGGTGGCGAAAAACGACCCGTCGCTGGCGGAAAATCTGGATCATCCCGCGGGCCAATATCCCTATCTTCCGCCAGCGACGGGTTGATTTCGCCACCCGGCTTCAAGATCCACTTTCTGCCTGCGCGGATACACCTGAGCGTATCCGCCCGCGAATTCGCAAGTGTAGACGCGCCATAAGCGAAACGGAGTTGCCTCTACGGCCAGCTAGCCATCTACACTTCTGACCTGCAGAAACGTTTTACACAGAAGCACTTTGTCGCGGTTGTTCTCCCATTGAAACCTCACATGCTGCCGACGAAGGTCGACGATAGCAACGCAACGCGCGTGCTGGCGTGAGTGCGAAGTGAAGCGACGATGGCACCCGCGGTGGGCAACGCGGGTCGGGAGGCCCTACAAAGCGGAAACAGGCGACGCCAGGGTCCCGGGACAGAGACGGATGCGGGGGGCTTTTCGGAGGCCCCGGCCGGGGTCCTAGCTGCCGCTCCTCCTCGCAGGAAGCTCGGGCTGCGGAATGCGGCTAAGTGGGCTCTAAATGGCAAGTTTTTGGAAGAGCTCCCGCGCGCAGCCGTCACGGGACCCGAGAATGATTGCTTCTCCGGGGGACACCTTTTACTGCTGCCGCTTGCGCAGCTCGGCCGCAGTCTGTCTGCTGCTGCATTGTGAATGTTTCACGGTCCGCTTCACATTCTGGGCGCCCCACCTCCCTGTGTTGCTTCGATATTGAGGACATCGCATGGGACAAGGGATGTACGGGAGGCTGGCAGTCTTGTATAGACCCCTTTCGAAAGTCTGGCCCCTGTTTGAAGCTGTATATATAATCTCTGCACAATGACGAATACAAAAGACGCCGCCGAGGTTTGAGCCCTAAAAATGCTTCTAATTCCCTTTCATTGCCATCTCATGTAGTTTTAGACGTGCACGTTTGCAGTGTCGGGTTTTGCGCCACTGTGCAGTGGTTTAGAGCCCCTAACAATCGGCACGTAACTTTCGACAGGGACCTTTTGGCGACGCGTGCGGGGCCAAAACCGCGTCGTTGTGTTCGGCTTTCCACGATGGGTCCACCATTCACCGTGACGTCTTTAGCGGATTAATTCTGCTTTTGTTTATTGAAATAGAAGTAACGACAGACGGTAAACCTTGATGGGCGTCGGTTTAAGAATGCAATTACTCCAAGCTTC